ACCTATTTAACTAATTTGATTAGATTAAGAAAGTTAAATAAATTAGTTAATTATAAGAAATATGACTTTTTTTCTTAAAATATCATAATTATCTTTCTTAATATCCTCCTTCTCTCACTTATTTGATTATAATTAAGGGAGTATCTATAGGGATAATTTAAAAAAATTGATAAATATGATAAATAGATCTTATATTTAGAACTAAAATTAACTTAATAATTAGATTCTATATTAAAGATTAGAGGAGCATCATATTATGAATACCTAATGATTTTTATTGGCGTACAATTTATACCTTCTTGTTATTGTGCTATCTCAAAACCTTATTATAAGAGTTGTTTGATTAATTTGAATTATTAAAAATGCCTAATAAATTAATTAAGGTTAATATAATTTTTTATCTCTGAAATTTGAGTCCATTTTGATTTTGGTTCGTCAAATTTCAAACTTGTGGTTTTAGTCCTAGAAATTTTGCTTGTCTTAAAATATTAGTCCTTAACGATGCAACAGTATTAAAATCTGCTGAACTGTCATCGATGATATTAAAAGGGTTGATGTAGACTTACTAGATAATACTTAACTAGATCTTATATGGATAATAGAGTGCAATATAGTGAATAACTTTTGAAAACAAATAGCAATAAAGAAAAAACAAGAGGCTAAAAAGCTACATTTTTAGGATTTGTTCTTTTTTTCCTCTCTCCTGTTATCCATACAAGATCCAGCTAGGTGTCATAAGATGAGTTTACACTATCACTTTAATGCTGTTTATAACATTTTAGTAGATTTTGACATTGTCACACCTCAGGAACTAATGTTTTAACACGGACTAAACTCTAACGACTAAAACCATGAGCTTGAAATTTAAGAAACTAAAACCAAAATAAACCTAAATTTTAGGGACAAAAAATTATATTAACCCAATCTCTATGTATACTGTTAGATCATATATCATTTTATAAGATATGTAAATTAATTTGAGAAAAATAATAAATATGAGAGACAAAAAATTTAAAGTCTTATATTAAAAATCAAATCCAACCCTATAACTGACTTCTACGTTAATCACAAAGTACAACTCATTTTTTTTAACTATGCATAGGTATTTTCAATTGGAGACAGTCTTATCGGCATTAAATATGAGCATTTTTTCTAGCATGGATTTGAACTTTGATTCGTCATGTTGTGAGGGACTAATCATTTTCACTAAATCCAACCCTTATTAGTAGAGTACAATTAATTTAGAAATACATAATTTATAATATATACAAAAATTAGTTGTAATAATTATTGTAATTTATAATTTATGATAAAACTTAGTTACAATTTATAATATATACAAAATATATATATATATATATATATATATATATATATAAAGACACAGTCTTATTTGAGGTAGTGTACCCCCTCTTCTCTAATATAGCCTATAATAATTATTGGGGGTTGGATTTATTTTTAAATATAAAATTTCAATTATTTTTTTATATTTATAATTTTTTTCTAAATATTTTACACTGTTTATAATTAACTAATTTATTTTAATTTTTTAAATCTATCAAAGTTGTTTACGTCAAGAAAGACGGAGTATTCTTTTTTTTTTTTAATATATATTTTGGGTAATGTTAGACCCAAATAGAGGTCAAACACAGTCTTGAAAATTTTTAAGGAATTACTTAAATAACAAGGATATTTTAGGAATGACAACACTTATTTATTATAAATAACCAACTTAACTTACTTCCTTAATTTCTCCAAATAAGTCAATTGGGTCTTATAATTAGGACCGGAGGAGTAGTATACTATGTTCACCTAAAAATTTTAAATTTAATTCAATAGCAGCCAACCTGTCATGAGCACTAATAATCAATTTTAAGAACAAAAACAATATTATTAACAGTGCCAAGGCAGCCGCAGCCCCCGTTTGTTAGTATAAAACTTTGGTGCGTCCCTGGCTCTGACCTCATATGCCAGTCCCTTTCTACGTTCCTTGTTTTTGTAGTCTCGAGTTATTTACTTTTTTTTTTTTCTTCGATCTGGTTATACTATGTAGTAATTTTACGGAAAAAAAAATGAACTAAAAAGATAAGCATGTGAGAAATTAGAAATTAGAATGGTGGCCGGCTGGAGGATAAGAAACGACTAGTTTCATGTGAATTAGAGTTATTTTTTAATGAGAACTATTTACAAGCGATAAAGATATTTTAAGAAAAAAATTATAAATTTACAAAGCAAAGTAAATTAGAACATTATATTTAAAATTAAAATAAACTTTTTAATTATATTTAGAGTTGGAAGAGGTATTTTTAAATTTGCTTAGGTTTAGTCGCATAATTAGTTATTCATTTGCAAAAATAATAATAAACATATAAAATAGATTTTATATTTAAAATTAATATTAATTTTTTTGTGTATCTTTTTCCAGATCTGTACAAAAATGAAATAAACCCTGAACCGTCACTGCTTACGCAACCACGAGCCCAGGTCCCCACCCACTTCCACTTACCCCTATATGGGCTAGCTGGATGCTCGTACTATAAATAATATACTCCGTCCTGTTTTAAATATAAAAATAAAATAGTTCTTCTATTTAGATATATTTGTAATCTTTCTTCTTCTTCTTTTTTTCTGGTGAATTTTTTACATAGGAATATCGGCTAGATCCAATCACTTATCACATCCCATTTACTGCCTGAAGGATCGTATTATTTGTAATCTTTTCATTGCATATTAATATACCCCCGAGTAGAGAGAAATTTTTTTCGTATAATTTTAATTCTTATTTATTATTTTATTGATTTTATTTTAGAGGATATAATATATATTAAACAGGAATGAAGTTAGAAAATTATTAAATTTTAATAAAGAATTAATAAAGTAAAGATTTTCTTTTAATTTGTTTGAAATATATTATAAATGACTTATAAAAAGTACGAATTAAAAAATATATTATGATTTTCATTGATATACAATTTATGCTTTCATGTTAATTTAACAAATCTATAATACAACCTAATAATGGGCAAGGGATGATATATGCAAAATACCATGATTTAATTAATAATCCACATCCTACGCAACATAATGTATTACTATCTCCGGTTTTTACTATAAAATCTAGTTTCCTATTTACAAACTTTTTTTTACCAGCGTTGTTTATTTAGAAAATAAATCTTATATTAAGAATGTGAAATAGTTTTTTTTTTTTTAAATTTTTTTGGTCAAGTTGAATACTAAAGTAAAAGTCTAATCTAATCTTGTTTGACCTAAGGAATATATATTATTCCTTTCGCTTCAAAATATAAGTATAAATTTTTTAAAGGAATTTGTTCTTTATAGGCTATAATGTGAATTAATCTAATTATTTAATATATTTTTTATTTTTATTCTCCCACTTACTACCTCTTCATAAATAAGAGTGTTTTAGAAAAATAAGTTATATTTTTACATACTATTATTTTTAATCAATTTTAACTACCTTCATGAGTTCCATAATTTAATCATTGGATACTTATATTTTGAATCGAGGGATTATTATAAATTTTTTCAGAGCATTAATTGATTTTATGAGAATACTTTTATTGGTACATCTTAATGGATAAAATTTTTATTATTATGAAAATTTTAAGAAATTAATATTTTATTTTTAATTAAGATGTTAAATTGATTTCTTAACTTGAGACTATATAATAATAAGGCTTAATTATTGAGTTTTATAATTTTAAAGAATGTTATATTTTTATCTTGATATTATTTTTAAGGGAATACTATATCTTAGACGGAAGTTATTATATATTTGTTACTACCTCTTGTCCTATGTATAAGAGCCAGTTGACTAATTTGAAGAGATTAAGAAAATAATTTAAGTTAGTTATTTGTAATAGATATATATTATTTTTTAAAAAAAATATCTTTACTAATCAAATGTATTAGCTAGAGTTATCATTGTTAGAAAGATTATCTTGAAAAAAATATAAATATGATAGACAAAGTGAATTGAGGTCTTATATTTAGGATACAAATAAAAGCTAAATAATGTCTTATATTAAAAATCAGAAGTAGTAATAAATAAGCTAGTTTTTATTGTTTATAATTTTTTAATAATTTGTTTGGAAATAAGGCAAAAACCTTAGTCTTACATGATCATGCGAAGTTTTGGTTCAAATGCATGAAGATTGAGCAACCCGTTTGTGGTCAACTCAATCATTGTTTGGTCTTTGTACGTTCCTATATTAAAAAAAACACAACGTATGAACATAACTTAAGTTTAGAAAACCAGCCGTTTCGTCCCACATAATAGGCAACTTAAACTTTTTTTTTTTTTTTTTTGTGGGGGAGGGGCGGGGGATTAAACAAAGTTAGTACATTGAGCCAGGTAAGGCGAGTTTGGTTTGAGTGATCAGCGTGGCGATCAACGTCAAGATATTTCTTCTTGTAGTGAGATATACATAGTTTTTAATATAAGACTTTTTTAGATGAAACAAAAGTATTTTTAAATCATACTCCTCCGATCCTTAATATCTGACCCAATTGTTAAGTTGATTTTAGTCTTAAATATAAGACTCATTTATCATATTTATCAGTTTTCTCTAAATTATTTCTGTGAATACTCCCTCAACCATAATCAAGTAGAAGAAGGAGAGGGGGTATTAAGAAAGATGATTATGATGTTTAGAAAAAATATGTCACATTTCTTATAATTAACTAATTTATCTAACTTTCTTAATTTAATCAAATTTAGTTAAATAAGTTTTATATTAAGGATCGGATAAGTATTAGACTTGAAACTAATTTTTTTGAGCTAGGAGCGGTTAAAAAATAACCCTCTCAACAAATATGTTGTCTAAAATTTAAACTTATGTTCTCTTTTTCAAGTGAGACGGCTACTGTTTTAATTACAAATTGCATTATAAAATTGCAAAGGAGAGCGCCCGCCTAATATTATATCCTTCTGGGGAGGCCATCACTAAACCATGCACCATCATCCTTTTGCTATTTAAGTGTCTATTGATTTCTTCATTCTCTTCATTCTTCATACCGTCGTTGACTCAAGAGGCTCATCACGCTTTAGAAGAAAGCATGGCACTCACGGCGGCGGCTCCGGTGAAGGTGGTGGCTATCTGTGGTTCACTGCGTAAAGACTCATACAACAGAGGCCTCATTCGAGCTGGTTAATCCGTCAACTACTGCTCTCATCGTTCTCTCTATCTCTCTCTGTTCTGTTTGATTTTGATTGTTAGGTTAATATATGGTTCTGATTTGGGGATTTGGATCTGTGATGCAGCGATCGAGTTAAGCAAAGGAGACATTGAAGGTCTCCAGATTGAGGACGTTGACATTGCTGCTCTGCCGATGCTGAATACGGATCTTGAAGAAGATGGGAGGTTTCCGGTGGAAGTGGAAGCGTTTCGCCGGAAGATTCTGGAAGCCGATTGTGTTCTCTTCGCTTCTCCTGAGTATAATTATTCCGTCACTGGTAATTTGCTTTAGTCTGTTTCTCAGAAAACATTTTTCCAAAAATTTGTCTGCAGTTTTTTTTTTTTTTAAAAAGAAGCAACTTCGTTTTCATTTCAATTTTTTTTAAAAAAAAGTCCTGTGAATGATTTTGCTGATATTGTCCTTTCTATTTTGTCACTCACGTTTGCTTTTTCTTTTTAAAAAAACTTTTTTCCTTTTATTAATCGTTTTGTTAAAATGCTGCATTACTAATTTTGAATTTTTGATATCATTTAAATTATTTGATTATTTAACTTGGTATTTTTATTTAAATGATATTACAATCCTTTTATCATTTATTAAATGGGAAAAACTTAGCTCAATTATCTTAAGTTTTTCAATCACACATATAGTCATGTATCCTTTTTTGTTTAATATGAATTTATAATTAAATATTATTAAATTTTAATATTTTAAAAATAAGACACATGTATATGTACGATTGAAAAACTTGATATAATAGATATAAAAAACTTGATATAATTAAGTATGCCCTTATTAACTTATAGTTACCGATTAATTAAATGAAATAATAAAAGCAAAGTGGAAATTTCAACAAAAAATGTAAACCGGAGAGAGTAATAAAAGTTAGGGATAATTAATATATAAGTCCTTATAGTTTCAATTGGTTTTTAATCAGGTTCCTATAATTTTTTTTCTTTTTATCAGGTCCTTATACTTTCATATATTTTTAATCAAGTCCTTATAATTTTTTTTCTTTTTATCAGGTCCTTATTGTTTTACTTTGTTTTTAATTAGGTCCTTGTAGTTTTTATTCCTTATTTTACAAATAATAACATTTTAAAAATAATAAATTATTGTAACAATCTTATGTTAATATTCTTTTAAATTTTTAGTTAAACAAATATATTATTTATTTTCAATTCGAATTTTTATAATTATAAAATTCAAATTATAATAATAAATTTTTCTAAAATTAAAATATGATTATAAATAATTTATACTTAAGTATAATTATTATTCTGATTATTAATTAATTACTAAATGATTATATTAATTAGTTTGTCCAATTATATAATTATTAATTTAAAATGAAATTAATTTTAAAGAATAAAGTTAATAAATAATTTTTCAAAAACTACAAAGCACCTAATTAAAAAATAAGTGAAACTATAAGGACCTGATAAAAAGAAAAAAAAAATAGAAGGACCTAATTAAAAACAAACGAAAGTAAAAGGATCTGATAAAAAGAAAAAATTTTATAAGGACCCAATTAAAAATCAGATGAAACTATAAGGACCTGGAGATTAATTATCCCTAAAAGTTATATACTCTTTGTTGGCAAAAGGGAAAAAGTTACACTCTTTGTAGTAATTACTAATAATTACTTATTAGAAGAGAGAATTACAATAATATCCGAGATAAAAAAAAATTACTTGAAGTTCTAATAATAAGAGAACAATTGTTGTTTATAATCTTAAAACTTGTTATTGCAGGTTGCTTTATGATTTTTAGGACTTTTTAGTAATCATATTTTTTATTTGGGGCTTCATTGTCATGCTCCCCGATTAAAAAGTGATCTTCATAAACAACATTGAAAAAAATCAATGAAATTCTTTTAAAAATCATTTTTAAGGGGGGAAAAAGTCCCCACACAAAAATTACTTACAAAACTCATTTTCGTCAAAATCAATATTGAAAAGTCATGTTACTCAGAATCTCGATTGTCCACAACCCCCACTAAAATTCTTATTTAATCAATCCAATTATAATTAAAATAATATAAATCTAACAAAAATAAACAAAAATATTTATGCATAATCTAGAAAACAGTAATATTTTAAAGTACCAATTAATAAGTAAGTAGAACATTCATGTGTATAATTCAACAAAACAAAGCTACCAAAGCAGCAATTTGAAGGGCTGCTATTTTTTTAAATAAAATTTGTAAACTCAAAATGGTGTCATTTTAAATTTAGCAAGAAAAGGAAACAAATATAAAATCCCACTTGATCGACCCCATCAAAAACTCTTAATCAGATCGGTTGGTGAAATAGTTCATCGGTTGACTAGTCAGATCAAGCAACCTGACTTGAATTTTAATACTTGATGAGATGCACAACTCGTCTTATTTTTGTAAATTAGAGTATGTTAATTCATGTTGCATAATTAACAGCACCAATGAAGAATGCACTAGACTGGGCATCTAGGCCTCCCAACATGTGGGGAGGCAAAGCTGCGGCCATTGTAAGTGCAGCAGGGCTGTTTGGTGGTGCAAAAGGCCAATCCCATCTTCGAGACATTGGAGTCTTTCTTGATCTTCATTTCGTCAACAAACCTGAGTTCGTCCTCGACATCATCCACCCGCCTCCAAAGCTTGATGCTCATGGCCACTTTCCTGATGAACATACTTTGCTTAGGTTGAAGCAAATCCTTCTCTCTTTGAAAGCTTTCTCCCTCCAGCTCCGATCTAACAATAACAACTGATTATTATTGATGCTTAATCCACTTCAGTTTCCAGAATAATTTCTGTTATGTGTGTTTAGAAATCTGTTGGTTTTTGACCAAAATTATAATCGGAGGGTAACTTTGATTAGTTTTGGGAATCTGGTTTTGTCATGTATGGATGGATGACTGTAGTTGGCAGCATTCAGTTATGTTGGGGTTTAAAATTGAAATGGATAAATGTATTTGAGCATTCAGTTTTTCTTCATGTAGTATATATTGTGAGCTGTGTGCATGTTTCTATAAAAGAGTTTCAAAAAATAATATACTACTTTTGATCCTAATTATAAAATCTTATTTTTTATAATTAAGATCGGAGGTAGTATTATCCAAATTTATCAGCACAATGTTAATCAAGGCGCTAAAACTCAAAACCAGCCCATAATAAACTAATTGAGATGTTGAGTTAATAGTCAATGGATCATATTGAAGTTAACCTGAAGTTAGACTGCTTATATAAAAATAATACTCCTTCGGTCCTTAATATAAGACCCAATTCTTGAGTTGGTTTTGGTCCTAAATATAAGACCCATTTTTCATATTTATCAATTTTCTCTAAATTACCCCTATAGATACTCTCTCACCTATAATCAAGTAGAAGAGGGAGAGGGGGTATTAAGAAAGATGATTATGGTATTTTGGGAAAAATGTGTCACTTTTCTTATAATTAACTAACTTACCTAACTTCCTTAATCTAATTAAATTAGTTAAATGGGTCTTATATTAAGGACCGGAAGAGTATAACTTAACTGATAATAGCAAACTACAACAATATTGATAATCACCAATAATAAATATAAAAAAAATATAATAATAGTTTAATTGTAACAATAACAAAATATATTAATATTGATAATATTCTTTTATAATCCTTTAATAACTAAAATTAAGAACAAAATGATGTCATTTGCTTCTTTTGTACCCAAATACCAGCCAATCTACCGAACTTGCGCGGGTTGATCATGTTATGACTAGTTCAGTTTAGGTCATATTAGGTTGAACTTCCATCAGTTCATGCACTAAATCATATCAGACCAATGATCCATTCAGCGGCTTTTTTTTTTTTTTTAATATATGAATTAACTGGTTCAGTTTGATTTTTTTAAACCATGATCTTAATTGAGACTTGAGATGACTTAATTAGGCGGTTTATACTTTTATTTTTGAAATTAGACAGCTTATTTATCATCATAAACCATTGCTCAACTTGAATCTGAAATTACTCGTTGCTTGAAAGTGCGTTTAGCATTTTGAAATGTTTTTTTCAAGTGCATCTAACATTTTAAAATATTTTATAATGTATTAAGTACCTGAAGTATTTTTTTCATGCGCATTTTGTCACACCTCAGTTTATTACCCAATTTTATATTAAGTAGGAGTAGTTGGAACCATTTTACAAGTATTAAGTTAGAAAAATTTGAATTTTTAAATTTAATTTCTTGGGTTACTATTCATGGTAACTCTAACTTTTGTCAAACTTTGAAAAGTCATAATTAATTCTAAAAAAATCAAAATAATATGGTTCTAAATCCTACTTGAAGCTTGAAAGGAGCTCTTTAAAAGAAAAATGTATCCAGAGTATGAACTTAGCTTATGTGTGCTCAGTTTCAATGACAAAGTGCATTGTTTATTTAGTAACTTTTTCAATTTTTCAGAATTTGCGCCTAACTTTAGAGAGATATAACTTTTTGTACAAGTTTTAAATTTCATAAAATACTACTCATTTTAAAGCTAAAAATAATGAACTATTAAAATGTTGAGTTTCAAATCCAAACTCTTTCAATTGCTCAAAATTTTCCACGGTCAAATTTTGCCCCTAATTAGGTCATCTTTCATCTCTTTTATGCATAACTTGTCAAATTAAAACCATAAGCACTCAAACATGATTCACCCACATATCATATTATATAACAAGTAATTTCACATAATTTGTAATCTCTAAAAGTCATCCAAGTATCAATCCACAAATATTACAAAACTTATACATAAAGTTTATTATAATTTCAATAACATTTTTTTCATAGAGACACCACTTGCTTGCCCTTGGCCACACCACTTGTCTGCCCTATTGGTGGTATTTAAACATAGAAAGCAATGAGATTTCATAGAAATTTCAGTAGCAAAGGATTTACAACAATAATATTAAACATGCAAAATATATTACAATCAATTCTACAAAGCATCTCTTTACTCTATGCCATGTAAAAATCATATCAATTCATTCTAAATTAGTACATCGATGCATCTTGCCAAGGCATACCATACAAACAAATCAAGTACATTACCATCAACAATTTCAAGTATCACATGGCATAAATTCAAAGTAGTATATAATGTACTCCCTTCGTTCCTTATTATAAGAGACATTTGATGCTTATGGCATGTTCCCATATATAAGAGACACTTAAAAGTTGTCTCTATTTTTTTGTATTGATTTCCTATTTTACCCCTATTTATTTTGTCTCCAACTCATACTCTCTCTCCTTCTCACTTCTCTTTCTTTTAATAATTTAATTATTCTCTCTCATACTCTCTCTCCTTATTAATGGGGGTATTGTTGAAAAAAATATTATACTTTTTACACATTAATTGTCCTCAACTAATTTTAACTGATTTTTTTATCAACGTAATTTGGTTATTTGTCTCTTATAATAAGGAACGGAGGGAGTAATAATCAAACAAGTTAATATTAAAATTATAAATTCCATGTTACCTCTTCGAGTTTAATCACACGACTACCTTCCTTAGTTCTTGGGCCTCCAATTACTCACTAAAATAACCTAACAAACAATAAGAATAATAGCATTCCAAATCAATTATATCATTCATTACATAAATTCTTCCTAAAACTTGACCCCTTTTTCCATTAATTTAGGGTTTTAGTATCACCAATATTTCCATAACTCCTATAGGTGTTTCCTACACAATTTTTCGTGTAGAATCTATTTTTGAACCTTAAATTCATCAATCCAATTCTCCTATCACTTCTTCTTTTGGCCGAATGGGGTACCTTAGAGTTTAAAATTTTATTTTCAATTTTAATGCTTTGAAATGCATGTTCTCCTTATATCTCTATAAAAAATCACCTTCTAAATCTATTGGAAGCATCAAAACAAAAAAAATCAAACCCTAGAATATCCATCTTTACTTTGCTGAACAGTCCCCTCTTTATACATAATTTGATATCTCTCAAATAACAAGGTTTAACAACTACCTAACAATCATTTCCAATCCTTTAAACCATATAACAACTTAATATCAATCATAATCTATCAAAATAATTTCATGCAGCACCTCTCTCTTAGGGTTTCAATCACCAAACTCCATCAAAACTAAGTCTAAAACCATCAAACCATATAGAATCAAGTACTAGATAGGACAGTAAAGCTTTTACCTTGATTAAACACTTGATTCACTTTGGTTTTGGCTTGTTCTTTCTCTCCTCTTCTTCCTCCTCAAATGACAAATGCTCTCTCCCTGTAAAGTTCCAAATAGGCCAAAAGAAAGGTGAAAGAAATGGAGAGGAAGTGATATATATATATATATATATATATATATAGACCTTGAATTAGCTTACCATGTGTTACAATCTTACCCTTGATTTTTATCGCATAACACATGACAATTCTCCTTCATCCTCCCTTGATTTTCCACCACATGTGAGCTGAAGTTTCGTCCACATTTAATGCAGACTACCACCTCATAAGATACCTAATCATCCACATGTGAAAATTTGACATGTTTTATTTAAAAATCTATTCTTCCAACTCTAACCTTAAACAAACTATATGATTCTATTTAGGTCCCCAATCCTCATAGATGGCACCATTCAAGGCAGAAAAATGGAAAAAAATTTGGCCCCACCAAGCTTAACGTTACCACACTGTGTAATTTTACATAATTGGTTGAATTTTTCTCGGATCCTATTAAATTCAATGCCTCCTAAAATTTTTTTACTTACACCAACAGCAACCTTTTAATGAAAAATGATTCTCCAAATTTTCTCATATTTTGTTTTGGTCTACAACTCCTCCAATTGAATTTTCTCTGAAATCAACCCTTTACCGATAAAATTTTCAGCTTTAAATAATTTAAAACTAACCTTTATATCTCTAGAGGTTGAAAATAATTTTAAAATTCACAATAATATTTAAAATAATTTTTCTAATTTTTTCATGAATTATTGAGGCCCCTATATATTTTAAATAATTCAATTTAGCCAATATTTCTTTAATTAGCCAAAATTCTAGAAACATATAGAAAATTCTAAAATAAATTATTTTCATCCCATTTTTATCTTCCAGACCTCAAATACTATGTTTTACCTTCTATTATATTTTTCATAGTTTTTGAGAAATTTTTTAGAATTTTCAATCCATATTCTTATTCTGTTCAATATTGACTGGATATTCCAAAAATAATATTTTGGTCCCGATCTGGTCTTCCATCTCTCTGTTAACTACCCTACTTAACCCATGACCTAATTTATATTCATCATTTTTAGGGTTAAAATTAATAGAATATGACATATTCAATATCTGAAAGAATACTTCAACGAATGCATCAAAATATACTTCAGGATGTTAAACGCATTAAAAAATATTTTAAATAAAATAAATTAAAATTTTATATTTAAAATTAAATAAAATTCCCCGATTAATTTTCACATTAAATTAAAAGTAGTATTTCCTAATATCACGGTAGGCAGGATTATTCACATGCTGGAAACAATGTGTCTGTCCATTGGGGCGGCCGCAGCCCCCTTTTAATATAAACTTTGGTCTGTCCCCCTGTCCTTAGTACCCGAATTCAAAGAACCCAACCCAAAGCTAACCATTTCGTGTTTGTATATACACATATGTATGTACGTGCGTGTATAATATATATACATATAAGTCCCGTTTGCTATAAAATATTAAAAATGAGAGATATAGACTGTAATTATAATTAAAAAAATAATTAAAGAAACATTTAGCATAAATAATTGTTTGTTTTATAGAATTAAGCAAACCTATAAAGGTGATATTAGGAAATACTACTTTTTCTCATGATACTTCCTAATATCACATGCTCCTTTGGTTCTTAATATATGACTCAATTTTTAAGTTAGTTTTAGTTCTAAATATAAGACTTATTTCTCATATTTATAAATTTTCTCTAAATTACCCCTATGGGTACTTTTTTAACCATAATCAAGTAAAAGAGGGAAATGGGGTATGAAAAAAAGATGATTATGGTGTTTTAGAAAAAATGTGTTACTTTTTTTATAATTAAATAACTTACCTAACTTAATATAATCAAATTAGTTAAATAGGTCTTATATTAAGGACCGGAGGAGTATATAGATTTATCTGATCCCATGTAACAATCAATCTTTCATACTAAATACCTTTGTAATAGATTTTTTTAATATTAATTTTTATCTTTCATTTTCAATGCTCTCTATCTGCGGGGGTATTTGGATAAAATCAAACCATGGTTAGGAGAATAACTTATAGGGAAAATTTATTTTTGAGAATAGATTTTGAAAAAATAGATTTTGTGAAAAAGTGATTCTGATAAAGTGAGAGTATTTAGATAGTTGTTGTCAAAAGCACTTTTTATATATACAAATTACTAAAAAAGATATAAGTTAATATAATAATTACATAAGAGATAGATTTTAGAAATATTTTTATTTGACGTAATAAATTTGTTAATAATATATTTTTTGCCAACATAATAAATAATATAAAAAAATGTAATTAATAAATAATTAATATATGTATATGTATTTATAAAATATAAGATTAAATATGTTTTTAGAAAAATGATTTTTTTTGCCAACAAAAAATTATTTTGCTTTAAAGATTTTAAACATGAAATCCTATGGCATTTCTTCACAACTAAATTTTTTAATAACATACGATCTTTGATTTTTAATACAAGAGCTATTTTGATATTCAATTTGGTTTTAAATACAAAACTTCAATATATTTTGTTTCTCATATTTATCTATTTTTTAAAATAGTCTTTGTAGTAGTTGTACATATTAAATTTTCCATCAAATAATACTTCTAACTAATATACATGATTAGAAGAGTATTTTAGGAAAGATAAAACTTATTTATTACATATAATTAATTTAATTAATTTTCTTAATATATTTAAATTAATTAATTAGTTCTTATATTAAAAACCAAAGATAATATTACAATGTAGAAAAAAGGATCACATTTTTTTAAAAACAACATTCCTTTTGTTTTTCATGAAATTATAATTTAGATAGGTCAAATCATAATTTTAGAACTAAATTATGATTTTATAGAACTGTGAGGTGTTTGAGAATTTTTTATGCCAAATCATAGTTTGGTTTCCCAAAGTTATTTTGGCAAGAGTGCCAAAATAAAGCAATAGCACTCACTAACCCCACATGCTGTCTTGGGAAAAATAATAAACAACCAAAAGGAATGCACACTCATTATACAACCTCACTCCTTTTCCGCTCTATTTATTCTGTCAATTTTTCGATCTCTTTAGTCCTGAAAGTGTTCATTGATCTCATCACACTTTGAAGGAAGCATGGCACTCGCAGGGTCTGTCGGTGCGGCGGTGCCGGTGAAGGTTGCGGCTGTCTGCGGTTCACTTCGTAAAGCCTCATACAACAGAGGCCTCCTTCGAGCTGGTTAATTACTCCATTATTACCGTTTTCCATTTGCGTTATTAGGATTCTTTCCAGAACTTGGCGCATTATATATCTCATGCTGTTCTGTCTGTTATAATCAAAATACTCTCTGAAGAATGAATCAAATGCTTCTTCTGATCTGTTTGCACACACTGTCTCTGTTTCTTTGCTTGTTCGGTTGTACGGATCTGATTTGTGGAATTTGGATCAATGTTAGCGATCGAGCTAAGCAAGGGAGCCATTGAACGTCTCCAGATTGAGCACGTCGAGATCGCTGCTCTGCCGATGCTGAATACCGATCTTGAAGAAGAAGGGAGGTTTCCGGCGGAAGTTGAAGCATTTCGCCAGAAGATTCTAGAAGCCGATTGTTTTCTTTTCGCTTCTCCTGAGTATAATTTCTCAGTGTCTGGTAAATCCTCCCTTCTGTTTCTTTCCAGAAGCTGCTTTTCTCTGCCATGGACGGTTCTGTTGACACTTCATTTTGGTTCCTCGTAACCCTCTTCGCCCCTTACAAAATTACTTGAAGTATTTATTCTAATTTTTATATATTACTTTTTTTACACTATAAAATAGGTCTTATACTACCTCTGGTTCTTAATATAAGACCCTGTTTGACTTTTATTTTGGTCCTAAATATAAGACTCCAATCTACTTTATCTCTTATATTTATACATTTTTTTCAAAGTAGCCCTTCTAAGAATGATAGTTCTAGTTAATACACTTGATTGGCAAGGATATTTTAGGAAAGACAAACATCTATTTAGGACAAATAACTAACTCAACTTACTTCCTTGATTTCATCAAATTAGTCAACTGGCTCTTATAATTAGAACCGGAGGTAGTATTTAGGACTGAAAAAATATTTTTTTTTAATAAATTCGTGTTATTAGTTGATTGATTTGAGTAGATTAAAAAAGTTTGTTAAAGTTAATTATTTGTATCAAGCATGAGTTGGATTCTTTATAATCCTCTTGATAATCATGTATATTAATTAGAAATACTAATCGATAGAATATTTAATATGTGTAACTATTACAAGAATTACTTAAAAAAATAGATAAATATAATAAATAAAATGGATTGTAATCTTGTATTTAGAACAAACTGAAAGTTAAACTAGCTCTTATATTAAAGATTGGTGATGGTATTATTAACACTTATTGATTTTTTTGCTTTAATTAATTGGACGGGAGTGTATTAAGGTTATCCTAATATTATCCCCCCAAACAATTTGTTTTGTTTTAGAAATATCTTTTATAATTAGATTAATATGAAAAAATATTCAGACATCAAATTATAAGAAGTTATCTTTTAACAATTTAAATCAATGACTATTTAAATTAAAAGTTGTAATCATGGAGGACAACCTAGCTGCTTAAAATGCACAGTTATTGGTTTTGCTTTTTTGGCCATTACCATTATTTATATTTAGGAGATAGTTGGATCCGACGGATGTGAGGATTATTTGTTAATGAACTAAGGTTATGTTTGGTATGCAGCAATGAATTTGAGGGTTTGGGATTGGTAATAAGACAGGGAATGGGACTGGGAATGTGATTGGAAATGATGCTATAGGCTTACGTTTGGTACAAGGTAATATTTGAAGGGATTGGCTTGATTAATTTTTATTTTAAAATCATATCCAAGCTATGGAAACACAATAATGCCCCTTCCAATAAGTGAGAGAGTGAGGAGAGGGAAAGCGAGCTGCAAGTTCAGAACAATAAAAGGAGAAGATAAACTAGGACGAAAGTGAGAAGGTTAAACTTGTCTGAAAATTATTATAAATGAGGATGTTTTTGTCCTAAAAATATTCAATCCCAAGATTGAAAATGCAATACCAGGGGGAGCGCAGGCTTGTCCAATCCCACCCATGTGGCACTGTGCAATCCCAGGCCTTGCTCAATGCCACTTACCAAACACCATAAATTGTCTCATTCCCTGATCCAGTCCCTGTCCCTCGCTCCCAATGCCGCGTACCAAACGTGGCCTAAATGAACACATCCGTTCCCACAAAAATTAAAAAAGACATATAATTTACTTTTGGTAGTTATACTCCATATATAGAACCAGTTTATGATTATTTGGTTACATGATTAAACCCTTAATTACTACTTATACCTTATTCCACCTTTGCAATAACGTGATGTAGTTTGCTTTAATTTAAAAGAAATTTGTGTAAATTCCAAAATAATTTGTCACCCTTTGAATAAAATTCAAAATAGTGATCTACATGAATCATCAATATTTTATAATAAAATTGTAGATTTGATTTTTAACTTCATGCAAAATTTCATTTTTTCCCTTAATTTTATAAAGTAGTTTTTTTTTAGTCATCTAATTCTGACACTATCAGTTTCATTAACAAAAAAAAAAAGTCACTACTGAAATTTTAGCCGCTAACAAAACATTCTGAAATGTTAGGTTTAATTTTTTAAAATAATAATTATTAGCATATTCAACCTAAAAAATATTAGGGTTAAGATCCAAATGACACCTTATAAAATTAAATTGAAGGACTAAGCTGAAATTTTATCTAATATTAGAGGATCAAAAATAAAACTTTTATCTTTTATAAAAACATAAAATTGTTTATAAATTACGCTAGCAATAAAGGCAAGGAAGCGCACTAATAAACCAATCTCTCTTCTTTTACTTTTGCTTTTCTTTTTTTGATTCCTTCCACGCACAACCACTCACTCACTCAACATTAAATCTGTTACTTTTAGTGAACATGGGTATTTTATTATTGTAATAGCACCAATGAAGAATGCGCTTGACTGGGCATCAAGACCTCCCAATGTGTGGGGAGGCAAAGCTGCGGCCATTGTTAGTGCAGGAGGGAGCTTAGGTGGTGGAAGAGGCCAATTTCATCTTCGTCACATTGGAGTCTTTCTTGATCTTCACTTCATCAACAAGCCTGAGTTCTTCCTCAATGCATTTCAGCCTCCTCCTAAGTTCAATCCTCATACTGGCGACTTGATTGATGAAGATGCTAAGCTCCGATTGAAAGAGGTCCTCCTCTCCTTGAAGGCTTTCTCTCTCCAACTTCAACCTAGAACCTGAATCATCATCATCATCATCTCAATCCACGATATAGCGGCTTTGATTTTCTTTTACTTCTTCTGCAAATCAGCTTCTGTTATTCAGACAAATGTTCTTGATCATAGCATGCATTGAGCTCAAACTGAGACATGTATAAAATTGGAAGATGTATTTGTGCTTTTTTTTAACTATGTTTTTCTTCATGTTCCTCGAAGGTTGTTCAATAATTTGTTGTGGGTTTACAATCTGAATAAGAGGGTTTTGATTATCAATTAATGCGTTACCTTATGTCCTTGTCTATACCATATGATCCTGTTCTGTTCCTACATTTTGTTTTTTGGGATATTCGTTAGTGAGGCAGTTTATTAATGGTAAGCAAATATATATTTATTTCATATGGCTCTTGTATATACTGGTGTATTATGTCGTTGGAAAAATTATAATCCTAAGAGGTTTTTTTTTTTTGGGTACACATAATTCGAAGAGCTCGTAATGAGAGTTGTTTGCATATTTTGGGCTTTAAAATTTGTTGTTGGGCTTGATTTCGTTCCAATTTCCAATGGCCACATGTTATTGTCATAGCAATGGCAATACCATGTTGAGGGTAACAGCAAGGTAGAATTATATAGTTCATCTGTTACGTAAGGCCACAAATTAAAACAGTGCGGATGCGGATAAAAAAAATTACGCTGGTCGAATTTCTTCATTGACATTAGTTAAATTTGATTTGATAGTGATAATACACACACACACACACACACACACATATAGCCATAGGAAAAGGAAAGGTAAAGTAATATGATTACATTGAATGGGACTCTGGAATGGTCAAAAACAGCATATTTTACATATTAATCCTCCAAATAATATACAAAAAAGTGGTATTTGGGAGTTATCAGGAAATGATAGCTATATTATCCTATCTTTAAGATTGAGTTACCATTATCTACTTTCAGATCTTAAATGTTGCTTTGCATATTGCTCCATCTTTCCCAAAAATTATAATGTACACAAGAATATCATAATCCAATTATGGATGGCTGATGGCTTGGTATATCCTACTCATAAAAATATGAGGCTTGAAGAAGTGGGTGATGAAATTTTCAATGATGTAGAGTCTAGGTCATTTCTTTTTTTTTTTTTTTTTTGAGTCATCAAGAATAGGTGGTATTACTTTCATCATGCATGATCTTTTCAGGGATTTAGCAAAATCTGTGGCAAGAGATTTTTTGGTGCAGTTAGAAATGGATCAAGCACAAGACATGTCAAGCAAGACATGCTACTTTTCATATATAAACAACAAAAATGCAAATCTTGAGATTTTTGACAAGGTTCTCAAATGCCATCGATTAAGACTCGGTTTCCTCTGATTGGGTGTAGAATTCCGGTACAGTTTTGCTATAGATGGTGATATAGCGTTCAGAATTTCTCATCTCAAGCACTTGCGAGTACTATCTTTGAGGGGATCTTGGGATATCAAAAAGTTGACAGATGGTATTAGCAATTTGAAGTACTTGTATTATCTGGATCTTTCTTGGACTCCAATTAAGAAATTACTAAATTCAATGTGCCATCAAATTACAAATGTTGAAATTAAGTTGTTGGCATAACTTGACTAAGTTGCCATCAAATTTCTACATACAAAAAATGCCAAGATATATGGGAACGTTAAATCAGCTCCAAACAATGAATCGATTTGCTGTGGCAAAAAAGAGAGGATCAAATTTAAAAGAACTAAGTGCCCTAAAGCAACTTACATGTTCACTAACCATCTTAAATATGGGGTATATAAGTGAAGCTACGGATTTGAGAGAGGCCAATTTGAAAGAAAAGCAGTTGGATATATTGAAGTTACTGTATGATCAGAATACATTGGAGTTGATGTATGGGCAAGGTGCATTGAAGTATAAGTACAGTCCTGAAGAGACACAACACCAAGAGCACGTATCGGAGGCACTTGAGCCAAATCGTAGTGTAAAAGAACTCAGTGTTGAAGTATACAGAGGTACTAAATTTTCAAGGTGGCTTGGTGATTCACATGTTTTACGCAATTGAGTGTCCTTATCTTTTCTCAGTTGTACCAACATTGTAAGCTTACCGCAACTTGGGCAACTACCTTCCCTCCAGAAACTCAAGATTATCAGACTTGATGGAATAAAGGCTATGAGAAAGAGTTTTATGGGAATGACTCAATAATTGCTCCACTTCCTTCCCTTTCTTTTTTAAAATTTTATAGGATGAGAGAATGGGAAGAATGGGATATATTTTATTAAGGTGAAAGTTTCTAATCTTTTTCTATCCTTTAATCCCTAGGCCACTATTAAGTTACATATGACATTTTGGGCAACAAGATATCGTAGGGTTTTTAGCCATTTTTTTCCACCAAAATTAAATCCAAATCAATCACTAATCATGGCAATTAGACCCTTAATGGAAGCTTGAATTTAGCTTGGAGTATTACTTGAACTTGGTTTGATTCTTTTCCTCTTCTTTTATTGGCTGAAAATGAGGGCTTGGGAGGGGGCATTTATAGGTAATTTTTGGCCCTTAATTTTCTCACTTTGCCTTTATGAAACATTAGAATTCTAATGGCCATTTGTTCCCTTTATCAAGCCATTTTTTACATGATCATGCCAAGTATTTTATCAAATTTGCTATGTGTTCCCTTGCATCATGTTCCTTACATAATCTCCTTTGCATCATTAGTTACGTGGTGCAATTTTGGAAGAAGAAGAAAGAAGGGAAAAACTAAATTGAACTCATGAACATTTTTTCTTTTTACCAAGTGTCTTTAGGATATTTAGTATATGATAGAAGACAATTATTTTAATCTTTTTTTTTTTAATTATCTCCCTTAACAAATGGTATAATTCCAACCCTGTCCTTTTCCTCATAAAAATGGCACCAAAATGCTTGAAAAATGAGAGAGAAAAATTATCCCACTAAACTTTAGGCTATTTCAAGGTATAATTTTATTATATCGGTTAAATTTTTTTTGGATCCTGTTTAGTCCAGTAGCTCTAAAAATTTATTTATCTGTGCCAATAATTCTCTTTTTATTGAGAGGGAATTCACTCATTTTTTTTAGGTCAAAATTTGACCTGTAACTCATTCGATTTAAATTTTCTTAAAATTGGCCTTTTATCAACATAATTCAGCTTTAAATATTTTTAAGGCTAATCTTCTTACCTTTAAGGGTTGAAAATAATTTTACAATCTTCAATAAACTCCCAATTAATTTTTTCTCATGTCTATTTCAAAAATTGAGGCCTTTATTTATTTATAATTATTTGCTTTAACTAATTTTTTCTATTTAGCCTAAAATACCTATAATTATGACAAATCCTCTGATAAGTAATTCTCATTATGTTTTTACCTTTTAGGCCTTAAATACTGTTCTAAACACTTCTGTTTATTTTTCATAAATTTTTGAAAATTTTCAGGAATTTCGGCCATTGATTTTAATGCTGCCATTTTTTTTTATTGAAACCTTTCAAAATGAGTTTGGGTTTCACTTTGAAAGTTATTCTATCTTTGTCTCTATTATTTTATTTGACCTACAGTTAGTTCTGAATTCCCATCCTGTAGGTTAAAATGTGGTAGATTTCTTAGTGAGGTAGTTTATTGCTCGTAAGCAAATATACACTTATTTAATAGGGAAAATTGTAAAAAAAAAAACTGTTAAAATAAAAAAAATTGCACATAAGGACCGTTTATAAAAATTATTGTCAAAACCTACCCTCATCTTGTTATGAGTCCCAATTTACAATTTTTCTATTTCGGTGGTTTTTTTGTTGTTGCTATTTTTGCTATTTAATATGGCTTGCATATGTATTGGTGTATTACGTCATTAGAAAAATTATAATTCTAATATTTTTTTGGATACAAATAATGTAAGAGTTTTTTTTTTACCAATAAAATTTAGATGAGTTGGATCATGGGACTCACTAAGCCTAGGGCGTGCCTTTAGGCTTAAAGAGCGCTTACAAAAATACTTACAGATCATCCACTAACAAAATTCTCATATTGACAGCAAAATTCAAACTCACGAACTTGTAGGTTATGAATCGACTATTTACAAACTAAACCAAGTCTTGTTTGGTAAATAACGTAAGAGTTTGAAACGAGAATAGCTATTTACATATTTTGAGCTTTAAAATTTGCTGTTGGGCTTGAATTAGTTCCAATTTCCAAAGGCCACATTTTATTGCCATAACTATCGCAGTACCATGTTGGGGGTAACAGCAGGGAAGAATTATATGTGGTTCATCTGTTACGTCAGGTCATGAATTCAAACATTGCGGATAAAAAATTTACGCTGCTCGAGTTTCTTCATTTGGCATGATTTAAATTTGATTTGATATATATTCCTCCTGCCCTGAATATAAGACTATTTTTGTAATATAAATATAAGACTTATTTTGTAATGTAATTTATACCACAACAAGAGTCTTATATTTAGGATCGGAAGAGTGTGTATATATATATATATATATATAGCCATCAGAAAAGGAAAGGCAAAGTAATATTATTACATAGCAATCCTTCAAATAATTATACCAAACAATATGGGAACGAATATGAACAGGGAAATTTTTCCAAACGTACTTGAAAAATACTCTCTCCGTTCAAAATATTAATTTCAAATGCTTAAATTACACAACTTAAAAAGTGGTTAAAATTGATTAAATATAATAAATATGTAAAGAATGCAATTTATTTTTATTAAAACACCTCTAACTGTGGAGAAGGTAAGTGAAAAAAAGAATAAGTGGAAAAAAAAAAGATAAGAGAGAATAAGGTAAAAAAAAAAAAGACATATAGTTAATTAAAGATAAAATCGAAACTTATAAACAACAAATCATACCCTTACAATGATTCAAAACTTATATCTTGAACTGGGGCAGGCAAGTAAAGATGAAGTTAAAAAGCCGCAGTTACAAGGAAAGAAGATGAAACGCACACATATATTTAATTTCTTTCATGAAACTAATTGTTTGATATTATTATTATTTTTAATGCTTTTCATGATCTTAATATAAGATCTAATCTATATTAAGCACTGTTTATAGTATTATTTTTTATTATCATCATGACTATTTTACAAATTCCAATGAAGTTGCCAAAGGCTTTTGGCCCCATTAATCCCTGTAGTGGCTTGCGATAAAATAACATTACTAGAATTAAAATTCTCTATCCTCGCTTGTGCTTCCTATCGTTTTTCAGAGTACAGACAAGAAAAGGAGAATTATTAGAGGTGGATAAAATACAAAAAACAAGCACATTGAATTTGGGTAAGTGGTTCAAAATTGAAAAATGTAGCTGTGCAAGTTTTTATTTCATTATGCTCTGGTTTTTCCAAGTTTATTAATTATTATTTTTATACAATTATTTACTATTAATTTTTTGGGTAAGTGGTTTAATATTTCTAAAATAAAGCTGAAAATTAATGTATTAGCCTGATCAATTAAAAAAAAAAGATTTTGTGTTTTCGACCAAAAACACAATTGCTAGTGGACGTGCGATTAACTTACAAGAACTAAATAATCAGAAAAAACATAGTGTTGGTGTATTATTAATTTAAAATATCACTTCTCAAGAAATAATAAATAAATGCTTGAAATAACGTTGATTTCATATAATATAGTTAAAAATCTGGTCCTTGCCAAAAATTAAAAAAAAAACGACAATCACGTTGACTATTAATTATTGTTTGACCCTTTGACTGTCAAGCAGCACAATCCAAATAATTCGGCAAAAAAAAAAAGCAACAAATAAAGAAAGAAAGAAACAACAATTCAAAGGAGAACATCATGCATACCTCACTCCTACTTGTCAACTCTCCATCAGTTGCCCAGAAATCTCAGATTTCCAAGTAGCAAAATGCAAAAGGAGTACGTTTTCGAATCAATTCAATATAGTTGTGCTCTCGTCAATTCAATCATCTTGAATTTTCAGCAATCCCAGATTCCTACAAGAATGGCCACCAGCTGGAGTAAATCTCTTCGTATCACAGCATTCACCAGATTTCCGATTCGGATCACATAGAGCAAAATCAAATGGCTGTTTCGATGGTGACGCGTGCCACAGCGGCTGTGAAAGTGGCGGCGATTTGTGGATCGCTTCGGAAAGGATCGTACAACAGAGGGCTCATTCGATCTGGTATAGTTTTACGGTTTCGCATTATTTTTGTTCGTCTTGATCTTTCTTCTCTGTTGGTCGTTGTGATTTGTTGATTCGATTGATCTCAGCGATCGAGTTAAGCAAGGAAGCCGTTGAAGGCGTTGAAATCGAAGAAGTTGAGATTGCTTCTCTGCCGATGCTTAACACCGATCTTGAAAAACAGGGGACATTCCCCGCCGAAGTCGAAGCTTTCCGCCGGAAAATTCTCAAAGCCGATAGCGTTCTGTTCGCTTCTCCGGAGTATAATTTCTCTGTCACAGGTATGATCCTTCTTGACAATTTTGACTTGAATCCATTTAGCTTTCCGTAATCTAAACTTCGGCGGTTTCATTTACGTAATACTACCTCCGGTCCTAATTATAAGACCCAGTTGACTTATTTGAGGAGATTAAGAAAGTAAGTTAAGTTAGTTATTTGTAATAAATAAGTGTTGTTATTTCTAAAATATCTTTACTAATTAAGTGTATTGACTAGAACTATCATTATTAGAAGGATTATTTTGGAAAAAAATGCATAAATATAAGAGACAAAATGGATTGGGATCTTATAATTAGGACCAAACAAAAAGTCAAACGGGGTCTTATAATAAGGACCGGAGGTAGTATGAAATACACATCGTATAATTAGGGATTAAATAATTTTTTAATATAAAGAATTCAATAATTGGGCTATTATAAAGTAATGGATCGTTTCACTTTCATACTTGTTGGATTCAGATGAGCACCCGGTCCACTCTTCTACCGTCCAATTAGGGATTAAAAAAAATAAGTTTTTTAAAAAATGAAGTATGGATTGTACGGAAGTCATGCCAAATCCTATGCAATGGATGATGCATGAGAGCTTTCCCTCTCTAATTTGCCCTCTCGTTCTCTTTTTTTTTTGGGACTATCGCAGACCTTAAAGAATTAGTTGTAGTAATACCTCGTGTAATTAATATAAGAATACGTTTGACTTTTATTTGGTTTTAAATATAAGATTCCAATCCACTTTATCTCTCATATTTATCTATTTTTTTATAAGATAGTTTTTTTAATAATGGTAGTTCTAACCAACAAATTTGATTAGTAAGAATATTTTAGGAAAGACAACATATATTTATTATAAATAACTAACTTAACTTTTCTTTTAATCTACTCAAATTAATTAATTAGCTCTTATATTTAAAACCGGAAGTAGTATCAATTAATTACCAACAGGGTTAGGTATTGTGAAAGGAGCTAATTTCTCATGCCATGGTGAACTAAAGTTTGAATTATCATTGGGAGATATATCTATATTTAGTACATGATAATGTCTCAAATAAAATTGTTTCTAATAGAAGAATAGAGACACGTGTAGTTAAAAAAAAAAAGAATTATATGTAAGATTTCTGGATGTATTATTAATATTATTGTGACGTACAGCACCTTTGAAGAACGCAATAGACTGGGCATCAAGGTCACCCAATATGTGGGGAGGTAAAGCAGCGGCCATTGTAAGTGCAGGAGGGCAGCTCGGAGGAGCAACAGCACAGTATCATCTTCGCCAAATAGGAATATGCATTGATCTTCACTTCATCAACAAGCCTTTCTTCTTCCTCAATGCCTTTCAGCCTCCTCCCAAGTTCAATTCTGAGAATGGGGACTTAATTGATGAGGATGCCAAGCTCAGATTGAAAGATATCCTTCTCTCCTTGAAATCTTTCTCCCTCCAACTTCATCAAAACAAGTGATGAATTCGACTTAAATTCACCAAATAGTTTGAGTTTATCCTTCATTACCTATTCATTTCTTTAGTTAAACTACATTATATTGCTTGTTATATATTCCATATTTTAGATTAATCGTTGTTTATTTATGGGAGTATTATGGCCAGAATAGTAATTCTCAAATTTATTCAAGCTAAATAAACGGTGTCTTAATTAATAATTTTGCCCCTGTAATTAGTGGATTAATAAAGGCATAAAGACACAAAAATACTCCCTAAATTTGCTAAGCCTAATTCAAGGTCTCAAAATGGTTTGGTTATTGTGAATCTTCTAAAAACTAGTTTGGGATTATAGTTTCGTACTAAAATTAACTAAATATCCTTAATTTAAAAAAAAGCAAAATAACAATAATAACAGTTTATATAAAAAAAAAAGGGATAATTAATCTCCAGGTCCTTATAATTTCATTTGATTTTTAATTGGGTCCTTATAAGTTTTTTTCTTTTTATCAGGTTCTTTTACTTTTGTGTGTTTTTAATTAGGTCCTATTTTTTTTTCTTTTTATCAAGTCCTTATAGTTTCATTTATTTTTTAATTAGGTCCTTTGTAGTTTTTAAAAAAATTATTTATTAACTTTATTTTTAAAAATTAATTTTATTTTTAAATTAATAATTACATAATTAGACAAAATAATTAATATAATCATTTAGTAATTAATAAATAATCAGAATAATAATTGTACTTAAATATAAATTATTTATAATTATATTTTAATTTTAGAAAAATTTATTATTGTAATTTGAATCTTATAATTATAAAAATTAGAATTGAAAATAAATAATATATTTGTTTGACTAAAAATTTAAAAGAATATTAACATAAGATTGTTACAATAATTTATTATTTTTAAAATTTTATTATTTAAAATAAAGAATAAAAACTACAAGGACCTAATTAAAGACAAAGTAAAACAATAAGGACCTGATAAAAAGAAAAAATATTATAAGGACCTGATTAAAAATATGTGAAAGTATAAGGATCTGATAAAAAGAAAAAAATTATAGGGACTTGATTAAAAACCAGTTGAAACTATAAGGACTTGAATGTTAATTATTCCTATAAAAAATAACAATAGCAGTTCAACAAGTGACAGTTTTAACTTATCAAATGATAACAACATTTAAGACACCGACAACTATTTCTGTAAAAATTTCCTATTGAATATCAATAACAACAGTTCAATAAATACTTTTATGTTCAAAATATAATCAACTTTTAACTACCTTACCAAAACTAAAGAAGAGTGATTATTTGGTCTTAAATTAATTTTTTTAAACTTTGTTTAGTTGTCCTTATATTCAAATATGTCTCACCTCACTAGGATCTGTCTGTGATGGTGTTTAAAAGCACTCATAAGCACATTTTACATAAGTCAAGATAAAACTCCTTTTACATACTTACTTCGTATTTTGTAAATTATGATTAGAAAGTTATTTATAAATTATTTTAAATGGGGCCATAGGTAAAATATATTATAAACAAACAGTTTTTTATAAAAGGTACAGCGAGTTTTAGATTGAGTAACAACTTTAACTTATCAATTGACAACAACATATAAAAAAGCAATAATTAATAATTAAATCACTTATAAGTCATTTCAGAACTTAAAAAACTTAATATCATATTTTGAGAGTCTTATACTTTAATAATATATATCTCTCTCTTATTAAATAGGAAAAAGATAAGCCATCATTCTGCAAAAGTAAAATGGAGTCCAAGTGGTTTTTCAAATTAGGACAGAGAAGTAATCAGAGAATAGGTGGCGGGACAAGGACAATTGCCTTGTTTGTATGGTTTTTGCCTTGTCTTCAAGTTGAAGCATTAATGGAGGGAGTGGAGTAAATAAGGATAGATAGCATTAGACAAAAGCCATAATTATTAGTGTGACGGAAGCAACCTCATCAATGTGGGAGGCCACATCCTAATGTTGTTAACATCAAACATTAGTTTGGGAGTTCAATCGGTCCAGTGCCATCCCTATCACCCTACTCTTTGCCTCAATGCATTCTCCTTTTATAATCTTAAAACATATGCCCTTTTTATCTTGTTTTAAACACATGTATTTTCTTATTAAACAATTCTGTTTGAAAACTATCTAATACTAAATGTAAATATTTCTCTTAATAGAAATTCAAAACTTGGTTTATAAAGACTAGTCCGTCCCACTAAAGTACTAACCCTTTTATGTTTTTCCCTCGCAAATATGAAGTTAGTTGACAGTATTTGGAATGAATGAATACCCACTTTATAATTTACTGACATTTCGACTGACAGTTTATAAAATGTTAATGTTAATGTTAACCCCATTGGTGAAGGAAGGCAGTATTCGATCCAAGGATTGAAAGACAAAACTAAAAATCAGGAGTATTGAATGCTAAGAATAGGACAGACAGCTTCCCACATCATTCATGCCTCTCGTTCATTCTTCAACGTTGCTCATTTCTGCTTCTTCCAGTTGTCTGGTCTGCTATTGCTTTGAGGAGCCAAATTCGGAATCAGTAGGATGTTGAATCTCTTTGGTCCATACTCAGCTGCACAAAACAAATAAAAATAATAATAATAATAATTATGTAATGGAATAAATAAAAAAAATGTGAGGGGAAAAAAATGAATTTTCTATCATGATAGGAAATAACATCTAAAAACTAGCAACCATTTTCCGATCAACTTGTTTTTTCGTCGCCCAATGTAATAGACTAACAGCAGCGTTTCCTTTGAAAATCTGAACACAACCGATCCTGCCGAAGCAGTAACGGAATTCAGTGGATTTTTCCTCTTGTAATTCTAGACATTGAGTTTGGAAATGGATTCAAAATCCCTCCTTTTTTCTTTCTTCTGTGTCATGTTACAGAGATGGTTACATAGACGCCACATCTAAAGCACCAACCTTGCAGATATATCTCATCTGGGTATTGATGGATGAAGGCGAATAATAGGCTATAAGAAGATTGAGCCAAGAACTGGACGGCATTGGCAAGGCTTGGGAAGCAACGGTTAACAAACAGAGTGTTCGGTTAGGGAGAGGGGGAATAACGTAATCGCGCCAATGTCTGCGGATAATGGCGATGAAGATCATCGGCCGGGAGAAATCCATCACGTCGAGAAGATTCTCTCCAATGGCGATTTCTATACTGGCCAATGGTGCGATCATCTTCCTCAAGGTCAAGGAAAGTACTTGTGGATTGACGGGTGTATGTATGTGGGTGAGTGGGAAAAAGGCAAAACCAACGGTAATGGAATGTTCAGTTGGCCAAGCGGGGCCACATACGAAGGTGAATTCAAAAATGGGTATATGGATGGTGTAGGTACTTACATAGGTTCATCTGGAGATACCTATAGAGGTTCTTGGGTGATGAACATGAAACATGGGAAAGGGACAAAAAGCTACCCAAATGGTGACTGCTACGATGGAGAATGGAGGAAGGAGTTTCAGGATGGTCATGGGAGGTATCAATGGAGGAAAGGTAATTATTATATAGGACAATGGAAGAATGGGAAGTTCAATGGGAATGGTTCAATGATGTGGACAGATGGGAATAGGTATGATGGTTGCTGGGAAGATGGTTTGCCTAAAGGGAATGGAACATTCAGATGGGCTGATGGGAGTTTCTATGTTGGGGTTTGGAGTAAAGATTCAAGGGAGCAAAGTGGGACTTATTACCCTGCGGGTTCTACTTCTTCTGGTCATAAAGATTGGGATCCTCAAGAGGTGTTTTCTGCTGTTTTGAATGATTGTGTAGTGTACCCGTGTGAGGATGTACCAATTTATCCTTCAGAGAAGAGGCTAAACTTGCCTGAGATGATGGCTATGTTGCAGTCAGTTTCCAAGAAGGGAAATGATGGTGGGAGGACTAGGTGGATGTCTGCGGATGCAAGGCTTAGTAGTTATGGTAGTGAAGAATTCCGTCGTAATTCTGATGTAGATAGGAGATCAAGTCATGGGTTTGAAAGTACAGGGACTTTTCAGTTTGAAGATTCTGTTTCAAGAGGAAATAAACCGCCACATTTAAGAATAAAGCCTGCCAAGAGACAGGGGGTGACCATATCCAAAGGGCATAAGAACTATGACCTCATGCTTAATCTGCAGTTAGGAATCAGGTACTGATGATAGCTTTTGATTCCTGTATTTTTATACGGCATTTTAGGTTCAGCTAAACTTTCAATCTTCATCTTTTCTCATAACTTTTGGTACAACAACATGGTGTGATTTAAATGAATCTTTCCTCGTATGATTCTGGTATTCACTACAAGGTTATTAATCTTTTGCGCCATAGCACAGACATGCTGTAGGAAGACCTGCTCCAAGTGCATCCCTTGATTTGAAGCCTTCCGCATTTGATCCCAATGAAAAAGTGTGGACCAAGTTTCCACCAGAAGGATCGAAGCACACACCACCTCACTCATCTTGTGAGTTTAGATGGAAAGATTACTGCCCAGTAGTGTTCAGGTCAGGCTTCAGACATAAAATGTTCAGGTTGAATAGACTTTATTTTACGCAGAAAACGTGTTAGTTAGGTGAACTGTTTCTTTTGCAGTATAAACTGCTGAGTGCTAACTTGTTGAGAATGCTCTTGAAAATGTATAACCTTTTATCTGGAGGCACAAAGAGGTTGGTGATATGCTCTTGAGAGGAATATGGCTGTAATACAAATGCTGGGAATACGTGGAAACACTCCTAGCTATATTGTTTCATAGTCGCCATATTAGCATTACTTCTAGCGTTTAACTTTTGTCAGAATAACCTTTTTTTTTTTTTCCTGTAAATATGTGAAAATGGTTCATTGCTTTTTATATTTTCAGGGCTCTTAGAAAATTGTTCAAAGTAGATCCAGCTGATTACATGCTATCCATATGTGGGAATGATGCCCTTCGGGAGCTCTCATCCCCTGGAAAAAGTGGAAGCTTTTTCTATTTGACCCATGATGACCGATACATGATAAAGACAATGAAGAAGTCTGAAGGGAAAGTGAGTTACCTTGAAATTCGCTGGATCTGATATAAGCCACGAGTTCTTTGAATTTCTGCAACAATCTATAAATATAATCATTACCATGGCCATCAAGAATTATGAAGTTTCGCTACTTATGTTGCATGTATCTAAATTCATAGAATCAATGCCAAGACATTGAAGGTCAATACATATTGGTTACATTTTGTGAACTTGGCTATCCTTTTGTTTGTAAACTACTTTAAAAGCTACTTCAAATTTATTAATGGTTGCCATCACACCTATCGTTGATGTGATTCTATTGTTGCCTGAATTGCAAGGTTATTTATTTGCTAGATAAAACTCAACTTTATAATGTGACTGTAGGTCCTCTTGCGTATGCTTCCTGCATATTACAATCATGTTCGAGCTTTCGAAAATACTCTAGTGACCAAGTTCTATGGTCTTCATTGTGTTAAACTAACAGGTGCACAGAAGAAGGTAATTCATAGGTGTGAAAAAACTTGTACTTTAAATTAAACTTTTACTTTTTAATGCATTATAAATTTCAGGTACGATTTGTCATCATGGGAAATCTATTCTGTTCCGAATATGCCATTCATAGGCGCTTTGACTTAAAGGGCTCTACCTTTGGTCGTACAACCGATAAACCTGAGGCAGAAATAGATGCAACGACCACCCTTAAAGACCTTGACCTAAATTATCTTTTCCGGTTGCAGAAGGACTGGTTTGAGGAATTTTGCTCGTAATTTTCTTGCCTACTACTTTGGTTCCTTCGTTTTTGTTTGTTTGTGTGCATGAGCATGCGTGCATGAGTATTATGTGCTATGGATCATGATGGTATTGTTTGTCTCATACTTATTAGCTGCTTATGGGTAACAATTTAGTCTTTTGAAGCCAAACTTTAATGAAAATGGTAAGGAGATCAGTGGTCTACAAATAACGGATTGACTATAAATTGTAGCCCACACAAAAAGTCCTCTATTCGTTTCTTTAAATTTAAGATGAAAGGATCATGCCCATTACATGTCATATGCTGAAATGGTGGCACTGTTGCATAAACTTTTCACTCTTACATTTGTGCACTTAACATGGTGTCACCGACTTGAAATATATGGAATCTTTGGAAGGTAGATTGTTTTATTATCTCAGCATGCCTTCATGCAGGCAAGTGGATAGGGACTGTGACTTACTTGAACAGGAAAGGATAATGGATTATAGTATGTTGGTTGGTCTTCACTTCCAAGAAAAGCAAACTAATAAAGATTCTCTTACGCCTACCCGTACTTCAGGAGGTTTCACTCCTAAAGGTTATAATTTGTAACCCCCCCCCCCTTTTTAAAGTTATGTTTAATATGAATCTTTGCTAAATATATGAACATATCTTGCGGCAGATGGACACTTTGACAATGGTGGAACTCCTCGCCTTTCAATAGCAGATAGGGATAAGCTTCTCATAAGTCCTAGTCGGTATGGTCATTCTACACATGCTGCTAGAAGTTCAAGTTATTTAATAACTTTAATTTTGATGGCTAAAGTGTTGAGTCAAATCATCAGGAACCTAACCAGGCCTACTATTGTTTATTAGTTACTTTTCTATTTTAAGGAGGAAAAAAATTCTACAGTTTCTTAGCTCGTTGCTGTGAGCTTTTTTTAATCCGTTAATGAAATTATTACCAGCAGAATAACTTTTACAAGGAGTCACCGTTGTGATGTTGAGAATGTACGTATGTTATATGTTTACTTTGTTTAGTCGTGCTTTCTTTCTTCTTCTTCTTCCCCCCCCCCCCCCCAAAAAAAAAACCTCAACCAACCTCAGTAACTATACTAAACTTTGCTCCTTTACTAATTCTAATTCAACAAGCACATGTTAGCCCTGTTCAGCTAAGAAAGATGTAACTGTCTAATTTCCACCTATTTTTGCTTTGCTTCTTCTGAAATTAATGTTGATACTTCATCTGTTCTTCACCTCTTCTTAATTTTTCCATAGGTCCGCGTAAATTCAGGTCTTTCATTGTCTTATTTAGACTTCTCACTATCATTCGTTGATTCTCTACAGCCAAGAATTTTTCTTTTTCCTCTAATTGTAAAGCAGTGATTCTGATAAGGAAGAAACTTAGTCGCATACTGCCATTATTAGGTTTACGATCAGGTTCACCTATAAGATTATAACCTGTGGGAGAGCTTTATTGGGGAAGTTGATAGCAAATACTGAAGAAGTTGATTTAATCATGTCCTGATAATCAATGGCAATAACATTTTTTCATAAAATAAGCATTGTATTTCCTGTTGTAGGTTGCCGTCCATTCAACTAGGTATAAACATGCCAGCAAGGGCTGAACGGACTGTGAGAAGAAATGAGGGTGAAACTCCTCAGCTGGTTGGAGAACCAACAGGGGAAATATATGAAATTATAATCTTTTTTGGCATCATAGACATATTACAAGACTATGATATCAGTAAAAAGCTTGAGCATGCTTACAAAGCAATGCAGTATGATGCCACTACAATCTCTGCTGTTGATCCTGGGCTATACTCGAAACGCTTTCGTGATTTCATCTTCAAAGTTTTTGTTGAAGACACTTAAAAAGTTAAAGTTTTGATACTAAACATTCAACTTACAGCCAGAGGCCATCAGAGCGAGGCATTTACGGCAATGAGTTCACTAATTAGCTCATTCATTCCCATTTTGGCCCCAGCTATGCTGATTTTGGGGGTGTTTTATGAGTGCCAGAGGATATAGACCACATCTGAATGGACAAAACTTAGGTCTAATTATTTTCAGCAGTTGCACCAGGTTCCTTAACAGAAACATAAGAAATGAAGGAGATTTTCTAAAATAATATATGATGAGGAGAAGTTTTTTGTTCACTATATGCATGTGCATGCAATGGTCCAAATTTAGCCTAAAAATTTGGATCCTGCGTCACATTTTGCAGACTCAATCTGAGTTTTCGCATGTACATACATGTAGTAAAGATAAACAAGAATTTATCCAATGTTAGAAAACATCATAGCAAATGCTGGAGAAAAGCACTTAGATTTTTTTTTTTTTTTGCTCGTGAAATTTGTGCATTCCCTCTCATCATCACATGTTTCACATTTGTGAAAGTCATCATAATCATAGGGACAGGAAAAATGTTTGTTGTATTTAATGTCGTTGAGAGAGCCACCCTACCATTTCGCAATTTGTAAATGAATACACCCTAGAAGGGTCAAAGCAGAATTAGAAATCATTCTTTTTAGCGGCCATTTGTTCCCAGGGGAGCCTCGGGTTTTGGCACTGAATAAAATTGTACAGAAGGAAGGTGATGAAGAGATGGTTAGTTTGTATGTATAGAATATTTAGATCAATCATTTTATATCACTTGGAACAGGATTTGGTGTATTCGCATTTTTCATTCAGTAAAATAGCTTATTCTTTTCTCTAGTGATGCCTCCTCTTTTACGTTATGGTTTAGTCTCTATTTGTTTATGAACGGGGAGGCTTGAAGAACTTTTGTAATGACTGGAGTTAGTGGAACTGAACAATGTTTTTTTTTTCCTATATAAATTACACGGACATTCTTCTGAATTTTATTGGGATTCTATAAACATTTTGTGTTTAAAATATAGAGATCTCTCTTGAAACAGAATGTTATCTTTTCCTCTGGTCAATTTTATAATTTTTTAGCTGAAGTATTCTCAGCTTAAATGCATAATTTTAAGACTAAAAAGAATTAACCGAAGGGTATTTTGGTGAATAATTTAAACTTAGACAGAAATGCGAAATAGTTTTTACCTTTAATGAAAATGTTTCTGAATATTTTAAAAACATGATACAGATTAATGTAATTTAATGCAATTCAAATAAAGAAAACATTTATTTTTGAGAAAATTGCGCTATTTCATTGGACTAATCCTAAGATAAAGCAATTAAAAACCCAATTAATGTCAACAATGTAAATACACTGTAGTAGTTTGATTATGTCTGAAGTGCTTTTAGCAATCTGCAAATTACTGCCTTCAAAAGTGCTTGAAATTTGCAACGTGCAATGTTTTTCAGCCAATTGCAATAGAAAATATTAAGACTTGTATCAACAGGCAAAAGAGAGTAGTAACGTCCATTTCCAATTGTTATGCTAAACAATTTATTCTTGAATATTGTTTGAGAGGACCATTTTGGGGTGGAATGGAACCACATTCAAGAAGACCCACTTGAGTCTGCCAGGATCATTATTATCACGAGTACAGGAATGCAAAAAACGAAACATGACCTATATCACAACTAGAGCACACTTATTATTAACCAAGGTGTACAATATTCACAAGCCATAACATGACAGTAAAGGAAGCCATTAAGATCGGTCTTTTTCCATATGGCATTGAGGCACCAGCTTGAATGGATGCACAAGAATGAGATTATGTTCTTGTTTTGAGAGTTCTCCAGCTATGATCCCCAGTAAGAAACTACTCCCTCATCAGAATACCTCAAAAGTTTTGCTGGGATTTGTAAATCTCGTGATCGGAGGTGGCAGAAGTTACCGGACACAACCTAACAGAAAAGGAGTATGGTATGGCAGGAACAAAGTATTGCTCGTGTACACATGGGGACCAGCTATCATCTCCACCCAAACCCATGTGCTTGTGGTCAAGATGAACCTGAAATATCATAAAACGAGACAACTTGAACAGATAACACAACTTACAAATGGGAAAGTAATTACGAAAGCAGAGATGCTGATGCAAGCAGATTACCTCAATGTTATCTCCTTCAACGAGTTCTTCATTGTGTGTTGCCCGGTCAAGCTCAGAAGTGCTATAATAGCTTGCACTCATTTGCATGGGTGGAGAGCCCCCATACTTTGAAGCATATATTCCAAAACCATCTTTGTTTCTGAATGTCACCCATCTAACATCTGCCCTACCTGAACATTCCCCAGGAACGATGTAGGGAACATGCAAGTCACAAACACTCTCCTCGTAGACCCCCACATGTGCAGCTTCCTTCCTATCTGGATAACACTCGAATGGACCTCTTCCATACCATCTTACTTGATCCAATGTCTTTTCCAAATTGAATTCAATTCCCACACGTGGCAATGGAGGAAGATCTGAATTTGGTTCCACATCACATTCTACAGTGACGTCCCCAGAAGCATAAATGGTATAGGCCATATTGATTTTAATTAAAACCTTTGATTTATTGTGCTTGGAAACACCATGAAAAACCACCAGTATTTTAACCAAGTTCTTCGCTGTGTTCTGTACGGAACAGCTTTCAGTAATAAAGTGGAGGCTATCAAGTTGAGCATCTTTCCACTTGGTGAGATAACTATGGGGCCCTCCTCCTTTGTCATTATCAGTAGGAGCTCGCCAGAAACTTGGTAGTACGCCCTTATTCATCAGATGAACTCCTCCAACCTAGAATATCAGAATAAGATTAAAATCTTTATTTATTCAACAATTAAAATGACTCTAAGTCAGAAAGAAATAAAATGAGTAATTCTATCTTCTCAATATTCGTATTACCTTCCAGCTTTCAACTGTGCCTGTTTTGATGTTGAAGGTTATGTCCCATGTATCTTGATGGCTAACTTTGATGATATCTCCTTGAGTAGCAGTGTGTAGAGTGGCACTGCTAATATTGATGGCCTGGACAAAATATTCAGCCATGAAATAGTAAATACCACAAATAACCAATGCCTGGAATGGTGCCAAATTACTAGGCCTACAGGCATAATTTCTAATTCAAGTTAATGTGCAAGTGAAACATTACATGAGGAGCAATTTCTCTCCTGGCAGGCAGATGAACTTGTGTTGATGAAATGACATGACCAGCTTCAACCCAACGGGTGGAGTTCAAAAGCTTAGCATTTATTGTCAGAAATATTTCTTCTGCAACAGATGAACACCATAGAGAATACCATGGACCCGACTGCCAATCCATGGAATAACTACTTTGAGGTTTTAAAGGGGCGACACTTAAAATTCCGGACCCAAGGCTGCATCCATCTGCATGGGCACTCCAGCTGAACTCCAATCCTTGTGTCGTTTCAAAGAAATGAGCATTTGTGATCTACAAGACAAAATTTAAGGGAGATATCAAGAAAAACTGTGACCCAGGCAAATGGAAGTCCCAATAAAATATGTACCTCTAGTTTTCCTTCCCGTAGTGTCACCTTGATTGGTTGGTATAAATACTTAACTTCTGAAACAATGAAAGCCATGAATAGTAGTACAAATTAGTGAACATTGAAATACAAGAAGATGGAGTGCAAGGATGATATATTATATCAGCTCACCATGTAATGCAGGATGAGGAGTTCGGTCAGGCCATATGAGGCCATTTAAACAAAAATTTAAGTCATTAGGAACATCCCCAAAGTCACCTCCATATGCCCAATGCTTTCTACCATCTATTCCATCCTTCAACAGGCCCTATGAGCAAACAGAAAGGTCTTTCAATCCAATAAAATGATTTCCTAATGCAGACAATTGCATATGCTCAATGTCATAACTTCCATTTGTGAAGCTACTTGAAGAACTCTCAAGTAAGATATAATACATGCATACATATATATGTGCCCCCTATAATTTGATGTATAAAAATGTTGATCTAGAGACCATGAAAATCATATATCATGGATGTAAATAAGGCATCACCCATCCAATTAGCATGCTCAAGGCATACGTTGAGGAATTCAACAAGACATTTAAGTGGGATGATTTTAGTCAAATCTGACATCAGCACAGAGGTAAACGTTAAAAAATGAAAAACCTATTTCCAAAAGGGTTAAGAAATGAAGTATCAAGGAATAACAGATACTAATAAGATGATTCAATGGTTATAGTGTCTTCTTAAACAGGGAAGTTATGATTAAGTCATAGTTACTTATTTATAGTCTGCAAGGAATAAGGAATGAGTACACTGCATACATAAATGCAATGAGAATTACAATAATAATTCCAGGAAAGTCAATTGCGAAGTTAAAAAGGTTTCCATCATTTTTCTCTTTAAAAATTGAATAATTTTGTACATTGGGAAACAACAATAGCTTTGCAAAGGCATTGAGGCAGTGCCAACTGCATAGCATTGTTTTTGGATATTTGGCCATGCATCCCTCTTGGTTGTTAGAACGAATAAGTGAGCCACTGCAATGACTTTGTGATATTCAAACCACCCGTGTTTGTACCCAAAAAAATTGCCAGTGCCAATCTTCAGGTTCCAGGGTGAAATGTTCTGCTCTTACACATGATACTGGCGCCATCAATTTGCTATTAACTCAGTGAACACTCACCTGGTCAACCCAATCCCAAATAAAGCCTCCTTGAAGTCCAAAAGTGCTGTCAATTGCTTCCCAATATGAATGTATATTTCCATTACTGTTCCCCATAGCATGAGAATACCTGTCATTTATGCATTAAGATATCAAAAGGCCGTAATCATTACTGGGAATAGGAGACACTTGGAGGGGGCATTGTAGCTATTGATGTCAAACTCAAATATAGAAGGGTCCTTGGAGTTCAAAACATACTCGCATAGTATTAGAGGACGGGTTTCAGTTGGATCATTTGCAATTTTCACGATGTCCCAAACACGCATATACATGGGACACACAATATCTGTACTTGACGTTCTAGATCCTCCCCCCTCGTAGTGTAATAGCCTTGTAGAATCTCTTCCACGAATCCAACCTATTCACATCCGAATTAATGACAAAATAAGCAAAAGATCAGGAAAAAGG